GACCTACGACCAGCTGGCTTCCCTTGGTCAAGGGCATGGTCAGGCAGTTCATCAGGGACCTTCCAGTTGGTTAATTCATTGCAAGTCCAGCAAAGAACCAGAATGACCCACTTTAGGGACCAGCTACGCCCACGTGGTACTTGATTGGGGGGGGGGGGACAGGTAGACCTAGGAGGGTCTTTAAATATTTCTTCATGGTTGGCAGCACCTGCCTTCACTTGCCACCTTGCTGCTGTGAGGTTGGGTAAGTCTGTTGTGTGGACTGGAAGGGATCCTGGCTCCACCTCTGCATACTTGGACATGCTCTGTTTTCTGCTACTCAGGCGAAGAGGATGTGATTGGATGTTTTAGACACAAGTCATTGGAGATTCTTCTGTATCGAGGTTGAATGCTCATTGCGCGAGACTATTGCAAGTGACCTTATTATATTTTTAGCTACATGACACAGGCCTGGCAGTATATCCAGTTATATCTGCCCATCCAGCTCAGGCCTCTAGCATCTGCTGCTGAGTGTGAACAGGTTTGGAGGCCTCGTGGCAGTGGGAGTTTCAAACTCCTTCATTCCTTGGTCCAGACTGGGACCTCCCTTCCTGACTACACCCCAGGTCCCTCTGTCTGGGCATCTGGTTCACTGTGGCTGATGCTCACAGCTATCGCTGCCCTATTCCTTCTCACCAACACCCTCCTGCCCTGAAACCAGGCAGCTCAGGACCTGGCAGGTCCTCCTGGCTAACATGGAGGGTGGGGAGCACACACAATGGTCTGACAAGCTAGACACAGGTATTCCTGCTTCATGCAGAACTAGCCCAGAGGCCAAGTTGACATGCCAGGCTTTCTCTCACCGAGAACTTGGAGTTTACTGCTGTGGCCCAGACAGTCAAGACCCCTCCCTTAGCCATCTGGTCTTCTCCCTGATGATGTCTCAGGGCTGGTTTTGAGTTTGCGGGTTGCCTGTTGCGAGGTTTTCTTGCCATTGCGAGGTCACTTTTTAGTGCTTGTGAACAGTGATGGAGAGGATCAGCAACCTGCTCAGTCCCTTTGTCATTTGGTGAACTTGATCACAGGAATCTTGGAATTTCCCAAGTTCCTTATGATCATGGCGTCTGAGCAGCCCAGAGTTATGACTCAGAGCTTAGAGAAAGGAGTCATGTTCTTTTGGAAGCCTTTTATTCTGTCCACTACTTTCGTGTTCCAGTTGTTAAGAGTGCTGTGGGAGTGTCCTGATGTAACCCTCACCTGGTTCGAGGAGGAAGTGCTCCAATTCATAATTCATGGTCCATCCCAGTGTTAACATAGGCTAACCTCTCTCTTTATTTTTGGGAGAAGATCTGGAATGTAATTTGGCTGTGTGTTCTCAGAAGCATTTAGAGAATAGAAGAAAACCACAGTGCCATTAGTTTGCCTGATACTGTAATTGGGAATAAGAAGTGTCTGCTCTGTCAGCTACAGCTTGGTGGCCTGCAGGCTAAGCCTTCAGGGGGTGTGGGTGACCAGCAGCTGTGCAGCAGAAACAGTGCTATTGCAGGAGACAAATACTCTACTCGGGTTCCCTCAGCACCCACACTGTGGCCCTGTGCAGACAGATGCCTGGCTCTGCTCTGCCCAGCCCTGGTGTGGACAGGTGCTTCTCAGGGAGCAGAATCAGGAAAGGGGCAGTGGACCACCCAGGACCTGTGTGGTGGCCCCTGAGGCCTGAGCAGCAGACCGAGAGGGCCACCAATGTCCTGCTCCTCCCATGGCCATGACAGGGCCCGTGGCCCAGGCCACATACCTACCCATGATCTGTGTAGAGAAGTCAGTGCCGTGTGATCCAGAGCTCCTCAGTCCCCAGCCCACTGTTTGGAGCCAGGCTTCACCAGACACTCCATCTCCATGTTTGGGGTTGTCCTGTGTGCTGTAGGACATCGAACAGCATTCCTGGCCTCCTTTATGATGACAACTCAAAATGCCTCCAGACATGACCAATGTCTCCGGGACTTAGTCACCTGGTAGAGAACCAATGGGTCGGAACCTGCACCTCCATGCCCCAAACAGGGTGCCAAGTGTTGGGGACACAGTAAACAAGTGGCATGGTCTCAGGCCTGCACAGCTTACAGCACAGAATGGCCCGTGAATAGGCCGAGGTGGCCTTCCCATGACCCTCAGAGTGCCACATCAGGGCATGGTGTGTCCCCAGTGCAGCAGGAAGGTCAAGGCTGAGACAGAAGCAGGTGCAGTTGCACCTGTGGTGCCCGGCTTGGCTTGAGTGATGCTTGGTCCAGAGCCTGCAGGGTTAGGACGGTGGGCAAGGTTGTATCCCACTTGTCTCCTTCTCTATTTGGGAGGATCATCACCCCTAGAACCTGAGCAGAGACCCAGGGAAGGGGACTCCAAGATGGTGCAGGCCTGTGGCTCCTCGCCAGCCCTGGGGGGCCATCTCCACTGGCTTCTGGTGGTCAGGAGGAGGTGATGGCTGTTGTGTCAGCAGCAGCACTGTCTGCCAAGGGGGTCAGGAGCTTATCAGGAGGGAGATGCTTCCCCAGCCCCCACTTGCTGAACCATGATCTTTGGGGAGAGGGTCTGAGCATTTGTAGCTTTCCAAGCTTCCCAAAGGATTCTGATGCTGCATCATAGTGGCTTCTCTGTAGCTGTCATATGCTGCATAACAAATATCTCCTTTTCCAACCTCTTGGGCAGAGGAGTCCAGAGAAAATTCCCAAGGAATGGGAGTTTAAACAGCTAGCTGTCCTTTGCGCTTTAATGAGGAAGTGTTGAGCTATCTTTTTTTTTCTATTGGTTAAGTTTTTGAGGTATAATTTATGTACAGTCAGCTTTTAGTGTGTGTACATTTTTTTTTTTGCGTTGACCAATGCATACAGCTGTGAACAAGCACCACAATCCAGATATAGAATGTCCCAGCACCCTCAAAATCTCTGGTGCTGCCCCTTCATAGCCAGTCGCCTATCCCCAGTCACTGGCAACCACTGATCTGTTCTCCATCCCTATAGTTTTGCCTTTTCCAGAATGTCAAATAAATAGCATCAGACAACATGCAGCTTTTTCAGTCTAACTTCTTTAATTCAGCAATGTTCTTCAACTTTTTTTTTTCACTATTGTTTCCCTTCAAGGAGCCTTTTTAAACATTTTTTCCTAACACTTCTCGTGAAATTTTAATACCACCGATGTACTGTTTATGTGTGCCATGCAGACATAGTAAGGACCGGAGCCCTTCCTCTGAGCCCCAGGGGCGTCTCTCGGGGCTTCCGAGCATGGTCAGAAGATGGCTCTGAGCGCCATGTTGAAAAAGGGCTGCAGGTGAGGAAGGTGATGGGAGATGTCCCTCAAGAGGCTGCTGTGGGAATTCCAGTAGGGCCAACATGGCCTGACCCCTGGGAAGTGCTCGGACTCTGGGTGAGGGGTCATGGGCTGCTGGACTGGGGTTGCGGGGGAATGAGAAAAAAGCCGATTCTGCTCCTGCCTTGTGTGTTACGGGCCTAAACGCAGTCTCGGGTCCTACCTGCTAATGGCTTGGCCCTGGAGCCTACTTCACAGAGCTGCTGTGACCACTCAGTGGACAACAGGTGCCAAGACACTGGCTCAGGATGACTGCTGTCCCAACTTGGGAGCCCACACAGCAAAGAAGGGATCCTCTGAGCCCTGTGGTGGACTAGCAGACCGCCCTTGTTCAGTCATTGAGAGTGGCTGCTGAGCAATCTGTGGACTGGGCTGGGAGGCTGGCGAAGACCTAGACCCAATTCCCGTCCTCTCCTCAGGCTCCTTCCAGGATCCAGGACAAGGATAGAGGCTGCCTGAGCCTGGTGGATGGCCCTCATCACCGTGGAGCTTCTCTCTGTTCCCAACATTCCACGGTTCTATTGGAAGGCACACTTCCATGGGGCACCATGGGCAAGTGAGATGCTTCTCGGAAACATTCTCTTAGAGGACACTCGGTGATCTCAGGGAAAGCACTAGTATGTGGATACTTGGTGCTGGCAGGGGGATGGAGGGGGTGACGGTGACAGAGGCATTTGTAAATGAACAAACTCTCAGAGCTTGGCTGTCTGGCTTGGGCTGTGCCCCTTTCATAGCGCTCTGATGACAGTGAGGAGGAGGAGGATGGTGGTACCGTGTCCCCCAGCGAATTGCAAGAAAATGCAGTGAAGAAGGCAAGGGAGACCAAGACGCTGAAGTTATACAGCTCCTGGAAGAGAAATGCTAGAATGTTGCAGACGGAGAGGCAAGGAGAATAAGGGCGACCATGAAGCCTGTGATCCCAGAAGGAAAGGGTAAGCATTTGGGGCAGCAGAGTTGCAAAAGATGACGTCCGCCAGTGGGGACCAGGCATATAACATAGGGACCCATTATGGGTGAGAAAGCGAGCATCCTGTATGCAGGAGCTGTTAGTACAGAACACATCTACACAAGTTGGCAGTGCCTGGTGGGATCTTGACCCAAAGAACTGAGCAACCCGGGCTGAGAGGAGATGCTGAACTTCTGAGAGACCCTTAAATCCCTGATGAGGGACATGAGATTTAACAATATAGTTCTTATTTAGATTTTATTTTAAAATTACATTTTTAACTTAACCCACAAGGTTTAGATTTGTAGAACTCCTTTTCTATGCTTGTCATGGGTCAGTTATGCTGAACACAGGCTAAACAGGACCCTGGATTGGTGAACACACTACACAACTGCACCTCGACTCCCGGGACTCAGAGCCCTCGCTCTGCTCCCCCTTCTCTTTGCCGGGAGCTTTGGAAACAAAATCCTGGCAGCAATGTTTGGCAGCCACAGGCTTCGCTGGTTCCACTTCCTTCCCCTGAGATAGTGGCAATGAGCCAACCCCTGCTTGAAGTGGGAAGGGAAAGGGAAATATAGGAAAAAACGATTCTGTCACACTCAAGTAGTGGCGGTTGACATGCATGGAACACTCACTCCATGCCTGGCTTTCTTCAGCACCTTTCGTGCTCCGCCTTACCTGATCATCTCAAACTTCCTGTGGGATCGATACTATGGTTATCACTAGTTTACTGACAAAGCCGAGGCTTGGAAAAGTTAGGCAACTTGCCTGATACAGTAAGAGGCAGGGCAAGGATTGGGATCAGGTCCTTATTACTCTGACCGCTTGGGGCAGGGCGGGTGGGGTCTCCTTTGGATCGCCAGCTGGCATGGTGGTAGATTTGCTTTCCTGGCTCTGAACCTTGTGCAGGTGTAATCACATGAACATTTGCGAGTCTGGCTTGTTTGCTTCACCCATGTTGTGGGCTGCAATTGTGTTCTTTTGCGTTATCATATAGTGTTTATATGAATATGCCATACATTCTTTTTAAAAATCTTTTCTTCTAAGGATGGACATTTGGGTCATTTCCAGTTTGGAGCTGTTGACAAACCATTGCTGAGAGTATTTTTGTCCATGATGTAAGCTCTCATTTCTCTTAGGTGTATATTGGGGCAAGGAACTTCCTGGTCATTGTGTATTCATGTTTAGGTTTTGTAAATACCGCCAAAGAGTTTGCCAACATGGTTGTATCTATTTCATGGGCAATGTATGGGGGGTTCCAGCTGCCACCTCCTCAAAAACTTGGTATTGTCAATCCTTTTAATTTTAGCCATTCCAGGCAGGGATGGGGACAATGATGAACTATTCTTGACATGAAAGGGCAAGACAGTGTTCCAGTCTTCTATGCTATAGCAATGTTTCAGTGGGCTCAGGAGAATTGAGACAGCATAGAAGCCAAGAATGTTCCATGGTGGGCAGAAACAAGACAGCTGTAAATAAAATGCTAGGCTAATGACGAGATACCTGGATAACTGAGAGACCAGTGATGACATTGTTTATACACACACATGCAGGGGTGGTTTGAGATATTTAGCAGCTAATATGGTAGGGGCATTATCCAATCAGCATGGGTGCTAGCCAGGAGCACATGCACGTGTGTACTGGCTGGAAGCTCACCCCTGCTCATAGGTCATGATCTTAAATACCTATCCGGACTGAGCAGAACACAGCACATTGGGGTATTAGGCATCAGGGCTACAGTTTCTTATGACGGTTTGGGCAAAGATCAATATTTAGAGTATTAAAGTCAGCATGAAAATACTGACGTGGGGGAAAAACTGTTTCCAATAAAAACAAATTGTAATTTATGATAAAGGAACACACAGAGGCAGAAAGCATTTGGTATTATGAGAATGTGAAGACGTACATCCTGTTTTCATTTCAGCATCTGCCCAGAGCGCACGTGTGCACGTGAGCGAGGGTGGAGGAAGGGGCAGAGGAAAAAAGGCTAGACCGTACAGAACTGCACTGCGACCCTCGGGATGACAGCTGTTTTGAATTCCATAGCCTTTTAAACTCCAGGTTGCTCAAGAAACACTCATATCTCTCCAAGTCACAATTTGAGCTCATTGGTAGGGTTGTCAGATTTAGCAAGTGAAATGCGGGGCGCACGGTTAAATCTGAATTTCAGAAAAACTTTAAGTACAGGTATATCTCACGTCCTGTGTGGGATATACTCATGCCGCAATGCTTCGTGGCTCCCTGAAAGCAGCCCCTGGCCGGCGTCCGCAAGTCCCTACAAGGCCGCTGATGTGCGGGTCCCACCTCCTTCTCTCTTTCCAGGGTACAGACCCTCCAGCTGGGGCGTCCCACGGACCCGCAGGCCTCTCGGTCGGAAATGGTGAGTGGGCTTTCCCAGTCAAGGTAGGTGGTTTTCCCAGGCGACGCCCACCTTGGCTAGACCGCAGGGCAGGACAATATGGGCAAGGGTGAAGGTCCGACCCGCAAGCTTCCCACCTCTGCTCGGACCCAAAACCACCCGCCCAGCTGACCCGCTGACCCCTGCCGCTAGGAGCCAATCAGCCACCAGGCAAATGCCTAGAAGGCAGCGCCTGATTGGTTCTATGCAGACCAATCAGCGGGGCGGAGAGGTGCACGCAGAGGGGCCGTCGGGCCGGAAGGACGGGGCCTCCGAGAGGCGGGCGGGCGGAAGAGGAGGAACCTGGGGTCAGCCAGTGGGAAGAGAGAGGAAGAGTGGGAGTGGATGTGGGCGGCCTGCGGGTGGAGTGTGTGTGTGTGTGGGCGTGCGCGCGCTACTCCACGGGATAAGTGACTCGTGTATGAGGTAGCCTCCGCTTTTGTCACCGCATCATGATGAGGATCACCTCTTCTATCACCACGGTCGTATCTGAGCTGCGACAGGCACTTCCGGGAGCCCTCGGGTGTCCGTTGGGTCAGCGCGCACTCAAACCCTGAGAGCGTCTGGACAGGCACGTGCATCCTTGAGTCCTGCACGCTGAGCCACGGATACCACTCCTGGAGGAGCGCTAGCATCCCAGTCACCTGGGCTGGCCCCAGAGCCCCCGAGTCACCCTGTCCCAGCACTAGCTTGTATCACATAGGCAGGACAGAGACTACACCTAAGCACAAAACGTAAGCGCAAAAGGGCAATTTGGGTTCACTGAGAATATCAGGGGTAGGGCTTCAGGCATGGATGTATCCAGCTGCTCAAGGAGAGTGGTCAAGGACTGCTTGTCTCCATCTCAGCTTTGCTTTCCTGTGTGTTGGCTTCCTTCCTAGAGGCAAGATGACCACCAAGACCTCTAGGGGCTTACAAACTCAACAGAAAAGGGAGATTCTCATTACCAATAATTTTAGCACAAAGTCTCAGAATGCGTTTCATTGGACTGACTTGGTTTATGACACCAGTTTGAGCCAGTTTCTGAGATGAGGGGGGAGGTTCCAGCTCACTTGAACTGCAAGGACTGAGATGGGTGTGGGCACCCCGCCACTGAGGAAACTGCAATACTGTCATTACCAGCAAGGGGCTTGGATGCTGTGCTGGGCAACATCCCACATCCTCTGTGTTCTCAAGTATTAGCTGGTGAGTTGCTCTCAATGACCTGAAACTATTGCTGTATGAAATAGCAGTAATAATTATTATGATGATAATGAAACACAAACACTTGTATTATTTTTATGGTTTCCATCTTACAAAATACTTTGACACATTTCATTTATGCCCACTGGAGACTGCATATGACCAACATTCTAGCCATTTGTGGGAGGAAAATAAGAAAGAGTAATAGAGAGTGTGTCCTTCCAGAGACAAAGCACCCAGGTTTTTATACTGGAAGGAATTTCATTAAATGTACAGTTTTGACAGTGTTTTCCTTCAGTATTCCAAGTAATCTCAGGGGTATGTGATAAAACACCATAGGTGGTGTGGTTGGCAGCTCCATGTCTTGGAAAGTTCTCCCCAAGTTGGAATGTTTCTGTCCTTCCCGAAGGGCCTAGCACAATTTTAGCTGGAGTGCACCTGAAGCAAGTAGATTTGAGAATATAGGATTCCATTAATAGCATTCGGGAACCCCCAGACTTTAGCACATGAGCCGGAACACATGTGTTTCTGTTGTCACCCATTTCCCCTCTCAGGCTTAGAAGGATGACCCCTTCCACCTCTGGGGGTTAATGATATGAGCCAGGCCCAGGCCCTCACCCTAGTATTCCTGCCTCCAATTTATACAAAGCTGGGAACTTTCTGAGCCTTCCTATTCTTCTTTTCTAGGAAGAGCACATTTCAAACCTTTGGGAAAGAAGTGTGCCTCGCAGATCTTCCAGTAAGGAAAACAAACTCTTTGCTACTTTACCCGAACCTACACACATCTGTGGGGTGGGGAGAGTAAAGAATGTGGGTCTAGAAGTATCTCATGAGAGGATGTCTGTGGTTGTAGGGGCCATCACTGAGCCCCCAAAATCTCTAGGGTCACCCACTGCCAACCCCTAACTCCCAGTTCCTTACAACATTCAAGGCAGGGATTTAGGAGGCCTTGAGAGAACCAGGTGCTGCCCCCTAATGTTCCTGCTGTGGACATCAACTCCATCTGTTCTGGAAAGGATGACTTCCCCTCTCCTTCCCATCTTTGGGTCTGGTGAGGATTACGTGACATGGATATGGAAGCCTTTGCAAATGGCAAGCACTGTGGGCAGATTGACACATAAGCACAAAAAGAGCAATCATCTCCCCACTAGAGTTGGTTGTACGTCCCCATTTTCAGAGTGGAGACTGAAGACTTGCTCATGGTAATATGGTAGTAAGTGGTTATAAATCCCAGAACACTTAGTCTGCAGGCTCTGGCGGTCCCCCTCTAAATGACTTTAGATGGCCAGCCACAGTGGCCTGCCTTTTTCTGAGCTGCAGTAGTGGCCAAGGCCCAGTTCTTGCCCCTGGACACCCTGTCTCAACCCTGGCTCCCTTTGAGCATTGATTCACTCTTCCAGAGAGTTCCTTGGTTCACATCACAAATGCAGCATCATATTCAATTTTGTCTTTTCTGGCTTTTACTCAGATGTGTCCCGTCCCCAGTGCTGTTCACCAAGATCCCATCTTCTGTGAGTGCCAGGCCAGATTTGGGGGCCACCTGCCAGTGCCCAGGGCTGAGGCAGCGCTACCTTACTGGGTCCCTCTAACCCTGAGACCTCAAAAGCAGGTAGGTGATTTGAACCAGGGGTTTTTCACCTGGGTCCAGGGTGAATTTCAAGGGATCAGTCACCCTTCAGAATCATAAGTATCATATGAATGAGATATTAAAATTCATGGGAGACAGTTTGTGTGTTTTTTAAAAACCAGATTTCTTTTAAAAACAAAATTTATGGAGTTAAGATTGACATGATAAACTGCACATATGTAAAGTGTACAGTTTGCTAAGTCTTGACATATGTATACATTCATGAAACTACCACAATCGAGATAATGTATGTATATACAATCCTAAAGAGTTTCTTTATGTCCTTTTGTAACTCCCATCTAACTCTCCCTGCCATCACCAGGCAACCACTGATCTGCTTCTGTCACTATAGTTTACATTTTCTAGAATTTTATATAAATGGAATCATATAGCATGTACTTTTTTTGTCTGGCTTCTTTCACTCGACATGGTTAATTTTGAGATTCAATCTGTGTGGTTGTGCGTATCAATAGTTTATTCGTTTTTACTGCTGAGTAGTCCTGTTACATGACTAGACCACAATTTATCCATTCATCCAGTGAAGGACATTTGGGTCACTTCCAGAAGTTTTGTCTAATACAAATAAATCTGCTATGAACATTTGTGTACAAGTCCTTGTATGAACATACTTTCATATTTCTTGGGCAAACAATCATATTTGGAGTGGAGTTGCTGGATCATACGATAGGTGTGTATTAAACTTTTTAAGAAGGTATCAACTGTTTTTCCAAAGCGGTTGTGTCATTTTACATCCCCACCAGCAGTGCGTAACGTTCTAGTTTTTCCACATCGTCACTAACACTTGGTTTGGTCAGTCTTAATTTTAGCCATCTTAATAGGTGTGTATCTCATTGTGGTTTTAATTAGTAGGTCTATTATGACAAATGGTGTTAAGCATCTATTCATGTTTTTGCCATCTGTATGTCTTATTTGATAATGTAAGTATTTGTTCAAATATTTTGCTCATTAAGAAAAATTGAGTTGTTCTTTAATTACTGAGTTTCGAGAATTCTTTATGTATATTCTGGATGCAAGTTCCTTATCAGATATTCAATTTATTAATATTTTCTCTGTGTCTTTGCCTTGTCTTTTTATTCTCTTATTAGTAGCTTTCAAAGAGAATAAGTTTTAAATTTTGATGGAGTCTAATTTATCAGTTTAATTTATTTCTGGATCTTATGTAGGTATGCCCACTCCCAGCACAGTAATGGATCTTGCATTCTAAGCATTTCTAAGAAATTTTTGCCTAACCCAAGATCAGAAAGGTTTCTTGCGTGTTTTCTTCTAGAAGTTTTATAGTTTACAGTTCATGTTTAGGTTAGTGGTCTATTTTCAGTTAATTTTTATATGTAGCGTTAGGTATGGATTGAAGTTCTTTTTTTTTTTTTGCATTTAATTGTCTAGTTGCTGTAACATCATATGTCGTAAAGACCATACTTTCTCTACTGACTTGTCTTTGCACATTTGTCAAAAATCAGTTGTCCATATGTGTATGAGTCTATTTCTGGACTCTGTTCTGTCCTGCTGATCTAATTATCTATTTTGATGCCAATACCATGCACTCTGTCTTGATTACTATGACTTTACAGAAAATTTGGAAATCAGGTAGTGTTAGTTTTCCAATGTTGTTTTTCCTTTTTAAAAGCTGGTTGTTCTAGGTTCTTTGCATGTCCATGTGAATTTTAGATTCTACAATTTCTACAAAAATGTCCTGCTGGGATTTTGATGGGAATTATGTGTATAGATCAATATGAAGAGAATAGTCTTAACAGTATTAAGTCTCTTGATCCATGAACATGGTAATCTCTATATTTATTTAGGTCTTCTTGAATACTTCTCAGCAATATTTTGCAGTTTTTAGTGTACAGGTATTGCACATATTTTGTCAGATCTGCCATAAGTATTTCATATTTTTGATGATATTTTTAAAATTCAATTTATAATTGCTCATTGCTAGTATTTAGAAATACCATTGATTTTTGTATTTTGGTCTTGTATCCCACAATATTGCTAAACTCATTTATTCTAGTAGCTTTTTTGTAGATTCCATCAGATTTTCTACATAACGATCTTGTCATCTACAGACAGATGGTTTTATTTCTTCCTTTCCAATCTGTTTGTCTTTTATTTATTTTTCTTGCCTGACATGCCAGCTAGAACTTCCAGTACACTGTTGAATAGAGTAGGGAGACAAGAAGACATCCTTGCCTTTTTCCTGATCTTAGAGGGATAGCATTTGGGTTTTCACCATTAACTGTGATGTTAGCTCTAAGATAAATGCCCTTTATCGGGCTGAGGAAATTCCCTTCATAGTCCTAGTTTGCTGATAGCATTTATCAGAAATGAATATTAGATTTTGCTTGTGTCTATTGAGATCATCATTTTTTTTGTTGTTTGTTAATATGATGAATTACATTGATTGGTTTTCAAAAGTTAAACCACTCGTTCCAGGGATTAATCCCATTTAATTATGATGTATTATCCTTTTGATATGTTTGATTAGAATTTTTGCATCTGCGTTCATGAGAGCTATTGGTCTGCACTTTTCTTGTAGTGCCTTCCTTTTTGTATTAGGGTAATGCTGGCCTTGTAGAATGAGTTGGAAAGTATTCCCTCATTTTCAGTTTTCTGGAAGACTGTAAACTTGGTAATATTTCTTCTTTGAGTATTTGGTAGAATTTGCCAGTGAAGCTTGGAGCTTCATTTGTTGGAAAGTTTTTACCTACAAATTTTTATTTAATAGATAATGGAGCTATTTGCGTTATCTGTTTCTTCTTGAGTGAGCTTTAGTAGTTTGTGTCTTTTGGGGAATTTGCCTTTTATGTCATCGTTGTCATATTTATCGGCATAATGTTGTTCATAATATTCTCTCATTACTCTTTTAATATCAGTAGAATCTGCAGCGATGCCATCTCTCTCACTTTTTTTTTTTTAAATTCTAAAAGGGTCAGTGGCTTCCAGATAACTAGATCATACTGTTTTAGGTAGTGATCATAGCCTCAATCTCTCTCATTGGTCATTGTATCATTTAAAAGTTGGTCAGGGTAGGTATTATCCTATCCCTTTGGCAGATGGGAAAACCGAGGTCCAAAGAGGGACAGGGGGTGTCTGGGGTTATACAATCAGTCCATAGCAGATCAGGGATTAAAATCTAGGTCTCTGGTTCTGAGTCCAGCGCTTTCTCCACCGAGTCATGCTGTTGGGCACCAGGAAGGAGGTGACCCTAAGCACGATGGAAGGAATACAGAAGTCAGAGTGCCACTAGGTGACTGCCCAGTCTCCGAGCTGGGCTCCTTGCCTACATCTTCTCTAGCTCTGACTTCATTTTCTGATCTGCAGCCCCGTGAGTTTTAGAACCGTGGATCAGGTCCTGTCACTCTCCCGCAGCTCCTCATTTCCCTCACAGTATGGACCACACACCCTGACACAACCCCCAGGGTCCTTCCTGATCTGGCCCCAGCTTGGCTCCCCAGCCCCCTTTCCACTTGCCCTACAGGCTCCTATTTCATCTGAGAGAAGGTAATAGGTTGCAAGTACAGAAACTGACCGAGAGTGGCTTCAGCTAGGGTCTTTGGTAGAGAGAGGATTCTTCTAGGATTGGTTTTATGGCTTAATGGTGTCTTCAGGACCCAGATTCTTTTCATCCTTCCACTCAGAGTGTTGGCGCTGTCACCTCTAGTGTTTCTAGATGGTGGCCGCCAGTCTCTTGTACCTAGCTGTGCATGGCACAAAGTAAGCCTTTTGTGAGGCCCTCTCTTTTTCAGGGGGCTATAGAAAGCTTGTTCTCCCATCCTCTCTTTCTTATCAGAGATAAAATATTCCCAGACACCCTAGTCAACTTCTCTTTCATCTCTTTGACTTCATCCCAGACCCTTTCCAAGCAAATGGTGGTCCCTTGGGACTGGGCACTTTGCCCCTAGAGCAAAACTGGGTTCTTTCAACAAAAGAGAGAAAATGATTGCTGCACGTCCAACCCATAAGGTCTGCCTTGTGAAGTTAGTTCTGTTATCCACATCCTTGAGGGCTGTCACACAGGGCTCTCAAATCTCCTGCCTTCTCCACCTAGCCAGTCCACTATGGCCTGGCTCAGTGACACTTTCTCGGAAAGCCTCCTCATCATTGGAATGCTCTCCCAGCTCCTGCTCTCTGGCATCCCAATGTTTATTCTTTTTCATGGACAGTGCTGTATAGTGACCCCCCTGAGGGCAGGATGGGGTCTTATTTGCTTCTAGCACAGTGCCTGCCACAGAGCATGCACTCATCAAGCGCTTGGTGTACTGGGTAGAACTGGCCAGTGTCCTCATTCCACTGGGCAAAAGGGTGACAGGCAGGAGGTGTCCATGCCATGGTGGCAAGTGGTGCAGAGGTGAGAGATGGTCCTGAGTGCTCCAGGCCTTGTTATGCCTTCCCCTTTGCATGAGCCCTCAGATCCCTCAGCCCATCTGCAGAGTCATCTGATCTCTGCAGCACATCTCACTCAGATTGTCTGGCTCTCCTGGCAACCATGAGAAGTCAGCAGGATCACGAGTCTTCCTGGGATACAGTGCCAGGAGTGGATTTCTGGATCAAAGATTGTCCATTTTAGACTCTGATCAATATCAAAATGCTAGCAGAGTCCTCTTTATGGCTGAGAACGCTGAGGCTTTGAGGGGCTAAATGTTGTGCCCAAGGGCCACTCCTGGAGGCCACCAGGGTCAGGACAGAGCCAGGTCTTCTGGCTCAACCTGCATGTCCTACCCTGGTGCCACATGGAGTCCCACTACAGAGGTACAGGCAGTGGGTAGTGAGGGCAGGGGGAACATAGAGGTGCTGGTGCTTCCTGCCCTGAGAATGTCATGAAGGGGTGACCGTGCTCCCTCAACCAGATGGTTGGAGGGAGGGATGTAGAGAGGAGTGCTCCAGGCTCTGTCCTTGAGGCAAGGTTGTCTGGGGCGTGGCTCCATCTCCCTTTGGGCCTTCTCTTCCCTTCCTCTCTGTCAGATCGAAAAGACGGTCCGGGTTTATATCCCCGAAGCCACCAAGGCGTGTCCCTGCTCACGCCACCGCTTCGGGGGTCGCCTCCCGATGCCTAGGGATCAGGCCACGATGCCCTACTGGGTGCCCCGGGTCCTGAGGTTTCACAAAAAGGTAAGAAGGAGGCTCTCAGAGCAGCGAGGCCTGAGAGTGAGGGCGGGCTTTCCGAGAGACCTGGAGAAGAGGGGAAGGGGGTGGGTTCTTTTCCCACAGAGGCTTCCCTTGGTGTTCTGTGGGGGAGGGGTCCTCTGAAAGCCATGGCTGAGGGCAACAGAGTGCAGAGGCTGTGTGTGTGGGAGGCTGCTCTCTGAAGAGAGTGCCGGTCTCTGCTGCCTCCTCGCTCACCATCTCTCCCGCTGCATCTCTCCCTCCTCCTCCACCTGGCCCCTTTCCTCCACCTCCCTTGCTCACCTCACCACTTCTTCCTTCTCACCCTCTCCTCCTTCACCCCCTCCAGTTCTGTCAGCCTGTCAGAGCGTCCTGTGCTTGTAGCCTCAACCCTGGCAGGCCTAGAGGGTAGTGGTGGGATGGAGGGTGCCCAGGAAGGACCACTGCTCTGAGTTTCTGTTCTCCCTCTTTGCTCTGTCTGGCATCTCCAGAGCTCTGGGTTCCAGGACAGTGACTGCAGATCAGCCAGGTCCAGCCCTCCTCAGCTTAGGGCACTTTTTCCCCCATGTATGTTCTAGGTAGTAGTTATAGGCTTCTTTTCTGCCCTGGGTCCCATTCCAGTTGTTAGTTTACTGTCATCAAGTAGCAAACTGTCCCCAGAATGAAAACCCAGAAGACTGTTAAAAGGAGACCAGGGTTGGCATTCTACTCTGGCCTGACCCCTTAGGAGGTTTCCAGGCAAAAGTAATGGCTCCCCCGATGGTGGATCACAGGGGCTGACACATTCGCCCACACGCTTTTCTTTCAGGTGGTGAAAAGGCAGCAGAGTCTGAAAGGCATCCAAGGTAACTCAGCATGCATGAGTCTCATCCCATCTCTCTCTCCTGGGAAAGTGGGGTCTGACGGGGTGGGGAGACTTCTCTAATCCCAGACACCTGTGACACAGAGAAGGCCACAGACTGGCACACATAGCACTTCTTCACTCTTGCTCTCACCAGGCATCACTAATCACCCACCGTCTTTCCCCACTGAACCCAGGGAAGCCTCAGACTCTACCAGTCTATCACCATTGGTTCTCAGGGTGAAACCATTTAAAACCTTTTTTTTTTTTTAAAGTTCTAATCTTCTTTAATTCATGACATAATACTTCTAAGTTGTATGTATATATATTTATGACATAGTATGTATATATATTCATGCCATAATACATATTCCTACATTATATACTTATGACACACCATATGTTCATGACACCATATTTATGCATGTATTCATTACACAGTATTTTCATACATTCATGTTTGTGACCTAGTATATATACATTCATATATTCATGACATGGAATGTGCATATTCATTTGTTCACAATGTAGTATATATTCATGACAGCGTAGGTTCATATATTTATACGTTTGTGACCCAGCATACACGCGCGCGCGCGCGCACACACACACACACACACACACACGTACGTAGTTATTCACATCATACTAGGCGGTGGAATCTACACCTTGACCATTACTTTCTTTGTTTCTAAAATGAGTAGGTGGATTTGTTCTTGAAGACACTTTCTGGTACCAATGGACAACACATCTGCTTTCTCTGTGTTGCATGTGAGCGAAGGAGTGGACATGTTTTGTGGGCTTGTATCACATCCTCCCCTTGGTGTTCTGTAGCCAGAGTCTGTGTATGAGTACCCCTTAATGGACTCTGTAAACACAAGAGGGAATGGATGGATGCTGAGAGGTTGGATGACCGATGCCAGGGTTCCTGTGATAGGCGAGTGATTTGAGCGGCTTTCTCAGAGACCAGGGCCGTGAAGCTGGGTGGGAGAGTGCTTGGGAAATGAATGACCACCACCCCACACGCCCACCTCTTCATGCTGCAAAAGATTCACATTTTCCTGAATATGGAAGTAACACAATTAAGAGGAATATAAATTGTCACAGCCTTTGTCATTTGAAGTTGTCTGTCAAATTTCATAACGTGCATAATAACCCTTAATCCAGCAAGCCCAAATCTGGGTAATATCTATAGACACTCCCACGTGCACACCTGTCTGCAGCAGTGATTGACTTGGCAAAACATTGGAAGCAACATAAGTGTTTCTCAGTGGGAGGGGTGGACATCAGTGGGGGTGTATTTGAAATACACTTGCTGCCTGGAGTGTACAGCTGTTAGGGAAGATGAAATGGACTCCCAGACACATTGTGACATAGAAAAACAAAAACAAGTCTCTGTAGTCCATACTCTAGGACTCCATTAATGTAAATTTAAAAAGCAAAAGCCCTGTTGAGGAATGGATGGGGCCAGGTGGTGTGTGGCAGAGCTGATGACCCATGTGGACAAGGGGAGAGCGCAGGGAAAGGTCCCCCAAAGACAGACTGGGGAGGATGCAAGTGAACAAAATAAAAAGCAATACATTGGCTCGAGTTTCAGGTAAAAGAGCTAAAGATCACTTTATTTAAGGAAAAAACATCTATGGCCATGCTACCCTGAACAAGCCCAATCCCGTCTGATCTCAGAAGCTAAGCAGGGTCGGGCCTGGTTAGTACTTGGATGGGAGACCACCTAGGAAGACCAGGTGCTGTAGGTGTAAAAAAAAAAAAAGGGGGATTGTAAGCTGGCAGGGTCCCTGCAATATGTGAGGTCAACCAAAGGTTGTCTTGCCTAAAAAATAAATAAAAATTAAATAAATAAAAATAAAAAATAAAAAAACTCTGTGCCAGTAAGACAAGGAGAAATTCCTCTTCCAACCATAAAATCACACATTTATTGCTTCATTTTTATTGATTGTTTTTGGCTTTGAATAATACTTTGCATCTTTAAGTAAAACTAAAAGCTCAGTTAGTTTATAGCTGAATCATGCGCATCAGCTGATACATTGTTAAAAACCAGTATTAATTTTTACTGCAGCCATTGTTTTATAGTTCAGGCTATTTATATTAATGATGTTTCAAGCCTCAAACCCATTCAACTTACTCATAGGACGGGACTGAGAGCCCAGTCTCATTGTACAAGGAGGATTAGCAGGTGTCTCTTCTTGAGCTTCAGACATAGGAACTTAAATATGTGTTTCTCTGGGCCTCATATCCAGCTGATTTCTATTTTAAAGAGAAAAATCCATATTTTTCATCTTGATTTTCCTTGTAAAGAGGAGCTTATATGCTTTTCTTCTCTATGCGTTTGCAGTAGAAATTCTTATAAGTATATTTATTATATTTTGTTAATAGTGCACCTTTTTGTCATAGAGTGTACATTTTATAATAGCATATTAATAATATAATAAAAAATGAGATATAATATCAGGAGAGCACAAAGAAAGTCTCGAGAAACCTAGAGAGTAGCAAGGAGATGGAAACAGTGGAATCCTGTTGGTTGTGGCTGTTGTTAACTTTTTATTATGGGAAATTTCAATTACTCAGATAAACCCCATGAACCCATCACTCAGCTCCAATCATCAGCTCCTCGTCAACCTGGTTTCATGTGAGCTTCACTCACTCCATCTCCCCCTCCAAAAAAAGAGCAAGGAAAAGATTAATGTGGAGCAAATCCCAGCCAAATACCCGGTCCTTTCATTCATAAATATTTCAGTATGCAGCTCTAAAAGATGAAGACTCAGAAAACAGCTATGAGGCCCCGTGATCACCCTGGAAATAAGTAAACTGCTCTCTTCATCTCATGAGTTGGCTCAGCTCTGCACCCTGGGGCTGTGGCAGGCCTTGCTGGGACGCTTGGTTTCCTGCCCTGGGTTCTGGAGGGTTCTCTGGTGTGCAGTATATACACTAATGATAGACTTGTCTTCACACCCTGCCCAGGCCTGATTCACTTTCTCCATCTAGAGACCCCCCTGGACTCACGCTCCTGGTACAACCGCTGGCGGATCTGCTGTGACGGACACCTCCTCCTCAAGTGGCAGCAGCTCCAGGCCCTTCACCGGGATGGGCCACTGGCCCTGGAGAGGGGAGCGAATCCCCAGGTCCCCCTCCTGCCCCTCAACCTCAGCTTTCTGACCTTCCTCCAGGCTGTCCTGAGGGTCATCGTAGTCATTCGGTGAGCAGAGGTGACCCTGGGCCCATCTCACTCCCTGGGCTGCTTCACCCAAGGCTGTTGGGCTTTAGTTGCATCAAGGATGTGGGAGACTTGGTTGTAGTTCAACAAAGAGTGAGGAATGGATGGGGCCATGATCACTATTATGTGGTTATCATTGTCCACTATCATACCCAATGCAGGTATCTTATTCCAGCAAGATTAATGGAAGAACAGTGCAGATACATCAGAGCTGTTGGTGGGGAGTGGGGCATTTTGGGACCACCCAAATATTTCCTTTTCCCTGCCTCAAGTTCTAAAATCGCCCTGCCCCTGAAAGATCACTGGTTCCCGTCATGTCAGGGTTGAAAGTGGCTCTTAGAGCCACCTTGCCAAGCCAGCCCTCTGGGGTTCGAGCACATCTTTGGGCTGGGGACCTACTGCTGACCCCCCAAGTCCTTAACCAACCATCAAGGCTCGATCTTGTAAAGCCCTTACCCAATCTGGCCCCCATCAGCCTGGCCCCCACCAACCTGGCCCCAGCCTTACTTTTCTCACCTGGAACCCTGCTGAGTCCCTCCCCCAGGAAGCCTCCAGTGTGACCTTGAGGTTTCAAAGCAGGGCCTCCCTTTACCAGGCTGCTTTCTTTAGTCTCCTCTGGAAGAGCCTACCTCCTCTTCCTCTTCTAGGCTTCCACCCCACCACCCCCAGTTCACCCATTCTTGGTGAACTGGTGTAAATACATGTAAATACACAAATATATGTAAATAGAAGACATACAAATACATATTAATATGTACATGTATGTAATTCTAATTTACACATATTGACTTGTTTGCTTTTTAATTGTCTGTCTCTTCCATGTAAATGTAAGAGGAATATTCTAGAAAATGTCCAGTACCTGAAAACAATTGTTAGGTGTCTTTTTCCCAGTTTTCCAGTTGTTTATGGAAGGTTAGCTTTGTCTTACTCTGTCACAGGCAGAAGTGAAAGTCCCTCTCCCCTGTGTTCTGCTTCTCTGTTCTCTTACCGTTGTCTTCCCTGCCTCACAAATGACCCTATGATGCACATTCACTAATGAGTGACCTGGGGTGTGTCCTCTCTAGGTCATGTGCTCCCAGGAAAGGGTCCATTAGCTTGGTGTGACCTTTGAACAGAGGAGGGTAGCACCGTGAGATTTTCCTTTTTTGATTTTCATGAAGATTCGTCTTTCTTTTTATGTTTGCCAAGTCAATGTTAGATTTAGTTGGCCTCCCCATACCCACTCTGGGAAGAGCAAAGATAGAAACTTGACTGTTAGGCAGGTGGGCAGAGTAGGCCAAAAGGAAAATCGCTGACACTTTTATAGGAAGGGTTTGCTTCTGAGTCAGGCCCTTAGGACAGAGGTGCAGGCACCAGCCAGCTGTTTAGGAAAGATATCTTGCCTGGCGGGGGTGCATGTGGGATGCTCTGTGAGATACCTCAAACTACACCACTGGCTTATCTGAGAAGCTTCCAGCTGCCCATCCGTTGGCCTGGAAGAGACTTGTTAGAATCACGGAGGCCTCGGGAGAGCAGGTGAGCTCAGAAGCTGTCCAACGGGGATCCCTGAAGAGCAGGAATTAACTCAGGCGCTTGCCTTCTCCGTTGGACCTGCCCGTACCTTCGTTTCGTTTGATTCCTTTCCAAGTTCTGCATAGCTGGGACTCTCCTCCTCATTCTAGGGGGAGAGAGCGGACTCTGAGGGGTTCAGTGACGGCCCGAGATCCCATAGCTGGAAAGTGAGCCAGCTGAGACCGCGCCCTGGCGTCACCTCACTTCACCTACCTCCTGCCTGGGCTCCTGGGGACTGAGTGCACTGGGGACCTGGATGACATCCCCCCTCTGCTGCAGGAGTACCCCCCACTCTCTTCCCCATGGAGGCTCTTGGGGAACGGTTTCTAATAACTGCCTTTCTCTTTGCTTTCCAGCCAATTTTTTTGGGTTTGAAGTTGGAATCTTCAGCTACTGTCAAGAACATCCTCAAAAATGCCAGTCATAATCAAGGTCTTTAACAAACGTCATCAAATCAGGAGGAGTCTGTGATAGCCACTATTTTCTCAGCTCACATAATGCACACCCAAGTTTCAATCTAAATTATTTATCATCAAGTGATTCTTAGTTGTAGCAGGGTTACTGTGAATGGGTTGAGATTCTGTTATGAATGTGGTCAATAAATGTTATTTGTGAAACTCTAAAGTGGCCACTTTTTTATTCATAATGATTTTCCTTTGTGAGGGAGTGACTTCTTTCTCTACTTCTGTGTCCCTGTGGGATGGAGGCCATCTCCACATTTCTCTTCCTTCTGCTAAGGACAGCAGACCCCCTGGACGAGGGTCCTGAAATGGTTTTAGCACGTTTCATGTGGGAATAATTTTAAATAGCATTTAGATCAAGATACCATTCACATACCATAAAATTCACCTTTTTAAAGTACACGATTCAGTGGTCTTTAATATATTTACAAGGTTGTGCAATCATCACCACAATATAATTCTAGACCTTTTTTTTTTTTTTTTTTTAAATTTAAATCATCCCCTAAAGAAACCTGTACCTACTAGGCACTCACAGCTCCTTCCCGCCTCCATCAGCCGCTGGAAACCACTAACCTACTTTTTAACTTTTCCTATTCTAGATACTTCATGTAAATGTAACCGTATAATATGTAGGTCTTTTATGTCTGGCTCCTTTTACTTAGCTTAATGTTTACAAGGTTCACCTACATCGTAGCAGGTATCAGTGCTTCATTTTTTATGGCTGGATAATATTCCATTATATGAACAGACATCTTGGTTACCCATTCATCAACTGGAGGACCTTTGGGTTGCTGCATTTTTTTGGCTATTGTGGCTAGTGCTTCTATGAACATTTGTGTACCAGTTTTTATGTGAACATGTTTTCATTTCTCTCGGGTATGGATCTAGGGATGCTGGGTCATGCAGTAACTGTTTTAATGTTTTGAAGAGCTGTCTCAGTTTTCCACAGTGAAAAAATGTACCATTTTATATTTTATGTTCCTGTCAGGGCATGAGGGTTTGGATGTCGGCGCATCTTCATCAACACTTGTTACTATTCGTTGTTTTGATTCTAGCCATCCTCGTGGGTGTGAAGTGGCATCTCATGGTGGTTTCAATTTGCATTTCCCTAATGACTAATGATGTTGAACATCTTTTCATGTGCTTCCTGGCTATTTATATATCTTCTTTGGAGAAATGTCTATTCAAACTCATTGTATATATTTCAATTGTATTATCTATTTTTTTATTGTTGAGTTTGTGTTTTATATTATTCTGGAAAGTAGATTTTTATCAGAAGTTTCATTTAAAAATATTTTCTCTTCTGTGAGTTGCCTTTTCACTTTATTCTTTTAAATATATTTTTTAATTTTTTTTTCAATTACACTTGACATTCAATATTATATTAGTTTCAGGTATACAGCATAGTGGTTAGACATTTATATAACTTATGAAGTGATCTCCCCAGTAAATCTAGTACCCACCTGGCACCATACATAGTTATTACAATATTATTGACTATATTCCCTAAGCTGTACTTTACATCCCAGTCTTTTTATTTTCTTGATGTCCTTTGAAGTATAAAAATTTTTAATTTCGATGAAGTCTAATTTTCTATTTTTCCTCAGGTTGCTTGTGCTTTAGGTCATATGGGCATTTCTAAGAAACCATTGCCTAATCCAAATTTACAAAGATTTACCTATGTTTTCTCTTGAGAGATTTATAGTTTAACTCTTGCATTTAGGGTTTTGATCTACTTGAGTTAATTTTCTGTTAACTTTGATCTATTTCGAGTTAATTTTGTAATGTTTGTATATGGTGTGAGGTAGGAGTCCAGGTTTATTCTTTTGCGTGTGGCTATCTAGTTGTCCCACATAACATTCTTCAAATGATAAAATTATAGAAATGAAGACCATCCATGGTTGCCAGGGGTTCAGGAGGGAGTGAGGTGGGAGGGCAGTGGGTGCGACATTTCCTTGTGATGGAAATATTCTGTGTCTTGAATTTATCGGGGTTCTGGTTGTGATATCACACATGGTTTTGCATGCTATTGCCAACTGGGGCAACTGGATGAAGATCAACATGGGATTTCTATTGTTTCTTATAAGTGCAATGATCTTAAAATTAATTAGAAAAGCAGTAAATTTATTTTGGGATGTTTCGAGAATAGAGACAAGTACAAAGGAGAAAATAGAAACCACTCAAATACCCCATCCTTAGCTAACCTGTGTCACTGCCCTGGCAGGAAGGAATAGACAGATTCCCACAGGAACTAGACTCTGGAAGGTGTGAACTGGGGGTGTCCACCTCAGAGACGAGAAGAAGAAAGAGGTGGGAGTCTAGTCTGAAGAGGGCTGGGTGCCTCAGACATGCAGGGTGAAGAGGGCTGTGGTCACTGGGTCAGTGGCTGGCCTTACAGAGCGTTTCGGGCACACCCTTCCTTTTGAGCTGACTGTCGTGGAGGGCCTCCAGGTTTCCCTTGGGAAGGCATAGCTGTGTTCTCCTGGGGTACATCTTCAGTGGCCCAAGGGGTACATTAAGCATAATTCATTCAATCAGGAAATAATGGTGCCTACTACGTGCCACACATTGGGGAGAGAATGTAAGAAGATGGGCCTAACCCCCAAGTTGTCCTCACGCTGATGGATTATTGTAACACGGGGACAGTTGGCATTATGAGTGAGGTATATGTGAGCTTTGGGGTGGAGGTAAAGAAGATGGGCCTAACCCCCAAGTTGTCCTCACGCCGATGGATTATTGTAACACACGGGGACAGTTGGCATTGTGAGTGAGGTATATGTGAGCTTTGGAGTGGAGGTGCAGGGGACACTGTACACATCACATCCTGCTTACATTTCCACGTTGCTCCAAGGACCAGCAATCCTTGACTGGGGTGATCTCTGGCTGCGGGAGCCTGTGCAGGGACAGGCTGGGCGTGTGGGGGAGTGACATCCTTGAGAGCAGCTCTCAGTCAATGATTGGTGGGAGGCGCGGATAAACACCCACCCTCTTACCCCACTAAGCTGTGTTCTCTTCTGTCTCCTGGACGTCCCAGCAGGACTGAGTCCCAGTTACCCACAGTGGGTACCTTCTTGGTAATATTCTTTGTCCTGGCTCTTCAACTTCCCCATGTGGCTTTCCCACTTCCTCATGGGGCTCCCTGAATTACCTCCCAATAAAACACTTTCACTCAATCTTTGCCCTAGGCTCTGTTTCAGAGGTACCTAAGATAAGACAAGGCGTGCTGCCTATGTCTCGAGGGTCAGGGAAGGTTCTTGGGAGCAGGACTACCTGAGCTGAAACTTAATAACTCTGATTATCTTGGCCTTAAAGGGTGAGGTCAGTGTCTTGGCAGAGCAGGTGGCAGTCTGGTGTATACAACTTACAGAGAAAGCTCATGCTTGGGAGGGGACAGGGATAGAAGATGGAGCAGGGACCAGATGGTCGGGAGGCCTTGGGAGGTTTTTAAAAGGTCATGAGTGCTTCAGACTTGCATTTGGGAAAATCCAGCCACTATGGCTGAAGCAAGTTGAATGGAATTGGCGAAAATGAATACTGGAGACCCACTTGGAGGCTGCAGTGGAAAACTTGGCAGGGGACAGCGATGTGTGGGATGATGGTGCCTGGACCGGGGTGGCAGCAGCCGTGGCTTTCTTCCAGGTATGGAACAGTATTTGGCTCTGTCATTCAAAAATCTGCCCAGACGTGCTCCAAGGGTGTGGCACAGCCACTGTTGTTAGTGCAGTGACGGCTTTGCTGCTGGGGCCCAAGCGGGACATGCTGTGGTACCAGACCTGAGCTTTCTTGAAGCTGCCATGAAGAGCCACGAGAGGGCACTGTCTGAAAGTGTCTGGTCTGGGCCCCTCATAGGAGCCAGAGAAGGTCAGATCTGCAGGCCTCTCGGTCGCCCATCTTGGCCCCGGTTTTGCCCGCTTCCTCCTGCTGCTGCCGATTGCTTTCCCCAGGTGAGGCCTCAAAGTCTGCGATCTTCCAGGCAGAATGTGTTCCTAGCAGCTTCAGGGGTTTGGGGAAACCTCAGACTCGGGTCAGGAGGCGCAAAGAAACAGCCCCCCGCTCCCTGCTCTTTTCTCCCCTTTCCGTCCTTCTCTCCCACACCATCTACTGAGCAATGACCGTGTAGTACAGCTCACCCAATAGAACTTTTTGTGATGGAATGTTCTAGATCTTCACCATTCAGTATAGGAACCACAAGCCACATGCGACTATTGAGCACTTGAAATGTGGCCACTAAGGACCTGAATTTTAACATTTATTCCCTTCAATTTAACTTTAAATAGCTACTTTAAATGGCTGGCACATTGGGCAGCGCAGATGTAGCTCTGTGGCTGCTGCCCTTGCTCTGTCCTTCCCACTGGCTGACAGCACCATAGGGCCCAACCAAGGTTTCATGGCCTTCTAGAATGTTCCCTGACCCTGGTTACAGAGTTTGCTTTAGAAATGCTCATCAGCTTCTTGCCTTCTGCTGTGAGAGTGAGGGCGGCAGCCTCCCCGGTTGGTCTGTCTTCACTTTGAGCGCTCAGCAGGTCCCAGGCACACTGATGTTTACAGTGGCCTGCTGGGTGGGGCGATCCCTCACCCCTCTACAGTGTGGGGACCCAGGTCTCGAGAGGGAGGCAACCTGCTGCCCCTTCCCATGCCGTGAGAGCCAGGGCAGCCCCAGCGCCCTCTGTCCCAGGGGCCGCTTCATCTGGGCCTCACCTCATCTCGGAGAAGCAGCGTCTCTGGTCGTCTGAGAACAAGTCTGTCTGCGGCCTGCCCAGGGACCAAGGTCAGCACAGCGATGGAGAAAAACATCCTTAGCAAAAATTATTCTGGAGAATGTGGCCAAGCTGCCGCCATGGGCGAAAGCAAGTGCAGCGAGAAACACCTCAACATTCATGGACGAGGACACCTCTCCACCTCCGCCAAGACTCTGGCTGTCTCCTCCCTGTCCCAGACCCTGTCCCAGTGAGTGACGAGGGACAGGACAACAAGCTTTCCAGTACTGTGGGGAAGCGCAAGGAGCAAGGGGAGCATGGGGGACAAGGAAGGGGACACGTCTTAGGCGTGGAGTCTTGAGAGGCTTCCTGGGAGTTGGAACCCGAAACAGAGAATGAGAGTATGCAGCGGGCAGGAAGAATGTTCTGAGCAGAGGAAGAACAATTCTTTGGGGGTGAGGATGGA